TCAAATTGCAGTGGTAAGAGCAGCGATACAAAGAACAGTTTTGTTGCCATCGTGCTTTTTGCCTTTGTTTGTTTTGAAGACTGTGAAATTCCCTTTCATTGCCGATCTTACCAGGCCTCATCCACAGCCCCTCTGAAATCAACATAAAGATTTTGACATTAGTTTAATTTGAATGACACTTCAATGGCCAGTGGAAGATGAAACCCTGCCGTGGTGTACCAAGTAGAGCCAAGCAGTGAGCACATCGCCCTGGTTGTGTTTGGTGCATCTGCTTCCTCCAAATGGCCAGCAGCCCTGCATGGGTTTGCTCCTTGCCCACCCCCACCCAATAGCATCAGCAGGGCCACATACATGGATGGGACACAGCTGGGACTCAGCCCTGGTGCTGGGGAACAGAGCGAGCTGCTAGACAAAGCCTGATGGACAGGAAGCAGAGCAGCCCCTGCCACTGTGCCCACCTGCTGGGCTCTGGGGATGGCTGTTGGCTTTGTCAGGTCTTGGAGGTAGGGTTGCTCCTCGTCGTTCCTGTCACTCAAGCACCTGTAAAACGCATCATTAAGCATTTCTTTCCGCTGCCTATTATTCACCCTATGTAATTTTGTGTGGCTTCTTTTCCCCCATGAAACAATTACTTCTGGATTTTAAGCTCTCCTCTCATCTTAGCACCAGGAGGTTTTAAATTCAGGAGGCACAAGCGGCACCACAGCCTGTGATTCTGTGATCTGCCATAATGCAATAATCCATTGGGCAGAGCTGCGGGAGAGCCTGGGGAGCCCTGCAGTGCCTGCACTGTGTGGGATGGGGCTGCTCAGGATCTGCTCCTTCCCTGCAGCTCCAGGTGCTCCCGTGGCTCTTCAGTTAATCCACGTTCAGAGCACACCTTCTGGGGTTGTTATCCTGAATAGAAAGGAGAGAAGCAAAAAAAGAGACGCCGGGCCGCATCTGGAAACATACGGGCTGCATTGAACTCTTAATGCGTGTTGTGTGTTTGCATGTAGCACTTAGGCAGATGTGCACATCAAGACCCTGCTGAATTCAGTATGTTTTGGTAACCTTTCCAGAAAAGATGGGAAAAAAATAAGGTTTTCAGCTGTTTGGCAAAAGGATTGCTGCATCAGTGTTTGCCTGAAATGCTGCCCCAGCCCAGAGATGTTTCTGCTGGAAGGAGAGCTTTGTGAAACCATTGAGTTGGGAACAGAACAGAGGGGCTGCTGCTAGCCAAAGAAGGTCTGTGGGCTGCTGGAAGAGCACCTCCATTATCGATGGTGTGAGTAATATTGCTTCGCTTGGAAGATTTGTTGCTTTATTGAGAAGGTGCAGTATGTCTACACAGAGTGAATACATCAATAGTGCTCGTGTCTGGCTTTCTGCAAACTGAAGGAGATCTTAGGAAACCTGTTCTCTTACCTGAAAGGCTCCCTCTTAACACACCAGAGAGCAATTCTGCTAATAAAAGAACGCATTAGGATGCCAAATTAAAGGCTGATGGAAATAAATAAAAGACTTTTTTTTTGACATTTACAATTAATGCCACAAAAATGTTGGTTTAATCAGACAATATGGTTAATCACAAAGGTGAAATTGAAAGTTGCCAGCCCTGAATGCTAGTGTAAAAGTTAATAAATTCAGCTCTTAATCATTATGCACATGCTAGTTATAATAATTTACTGCCCATACCAAATCTTTATAAGCATTGTAATTAAATATAAAATGCACATTAGAATTATAATGAGTAATTAGGGCAACATAACTAATATGCATAAAAGTCCCGAAGCTCATTAAAATGTTAAAAGATGGAACCTGTTGTAGCGGAGGGCTCTGCGTATCCTCTGTGCCTGCCCGAATGCCAGCGTGTTTCACGCATTGTTTTTGCTGTTCCTTCAGACATTTGAAAGCAAAGAGAAAATATTTGGGTAGGAAACCAGACTGTGCAGAGCACTGCATCATTTCTGGCTGGAGCATAAGTTGCAGAGTTGGGTTTCGCAGCCCAAAGGCTGACTCATGCACACGTGTTGGTGGCAGCAGCCGAGCAGAGCGGTCGTAGCAGAGGGAGTGGAGGTGATGGCTGCTCACAAAGGCGCTGGGAGGGAGCTGGAGCACCAGGGGCACCCAGCACTGCTGTGTCAGGCTTTAACGTGAGTGCTTTGCACAGCTTGGGTTGTTTCACTGAGACAAAAGGGGATGTGCACAGTCCGGGTGTGTGGGGGCACTCACTGCCACATTGGTGACCCTGACATCACCCTGAAATGCAGACACACCACGCTGTGCTCCTGCCCTGCCCGGGCCTCCTGCTGCTGCTCCCGAGCAGGAAGGAAAAATGAATGCCAACCACAGAATCCCATGGGGACTTCTACATGGTTCCCCAGCTCAGGGCAGCTTCCCTCACAGAGGCACTCTGCTCCAGGACAGGGTGCTCCTCTGTGCTCACCTGTGTGCTTATCGTCATTCAGCGCTCCCAAAGTGTGCCTGCGTTGTATAGTTTGTTCTAGAAGAAGGAAAACAACCTGACAGTGAAAAATACGGTAGAATGGTGATTCTAAGCCTTCTGCCTGTTCACATCAGCATTAGCCAGGGATTTCCCAGAGCAAACACTACCAGCAGTTACTTTCCCTTCTCCTGACCTCCCAGCAAGCAGAGGCCGGGCTCCTCTGGGAGGGCAGCAGGGCCATGGGGTCCCACCTGGCAGCTCATGGCTGCTGGCAGAGCTCACAGGCATGAGAGGGTTTGCAGTTCACACACGGAAATGTGAGCTGGGATTTTCTGCTGGGATCCCATCCAGCTGCTGACTGTGGTAGGTTTGGATAGTTTGTGATTGAAATGGCTGAGCTGTCAGCAGCCCAAACCACACTTTTGGTTTAGGAGAGCCTTCCAGATGTACTGACTCAGTGCCCTGCCCTGCTTCATCTCCCAGGATTTCTCCCTGGTACCTAGGCTGGAGGTGTCTGCATGGAGCAGGGTGACCCTGGATGGCTCAGGGGGCACCAGGCTTCTGCCACAGAAAGCACAGAATCGCAGAGCTGTGGGGGCTGGAAGGAACCTCTAGAGCTCCCCCAGCCCAGCCCCCCACAGCACATCCATACAGCAGATGCACACAAAGCATCCAGGTGGGTTTGGATCTCTCCAGAGGAAACTCCACCTCCCCCCCCCACCTCTCTATGCCAGAGCTCTGTGCCAGGGCTCTGCTGCCCACACAGTGACGTTTTTCCTCATGTCCAGATGGAACTTCCTGGGCACCATGGAACAGAGCCCTGACCTCCACCCTTCAGATATCAATCAGCACTGATTAGATTCCCCTCAGCCTTCTCCTCCACAGACAAACAGCCCCAAGGCTCTCAGCCTGTCCCCATCAGGAGGTGCTCCAGACAGCTCTGCACCTTCCGCTGGGCTCTCCAGCAGTTTCCCATCTGCCTGGCACTGGGGAGCCCTGCACTGGGCACAGTGCTCCAGTTGTGCAAAGCAGAAGGGGAGCACCTCCTTTCCCTGCTGGCCGTGCTCCATGCGATGCACCTCAGGGTCTTACTGGACTTTTTGGCCACAAGGGCACAGTGCTGGGTGGCGGTCACCCTATTCACCACTGTCTCCTCCATATTGCTCCTTTCCTGTAGCTCAGCCCTGTACCTGTACATCCTCAAGGGCAACGTGGGTAGAAGCACTGTGGCAAGGCAGGAAGGCAGAACGTCCCCAAAAAGGCCACATGCAGACTGCGCAGGGCAATCTCTGCCCCGCTTGGCGGAGTCCCTCATCACCTGTCTCTGTGTGGGTGTGCTGTGCTGGGTACTGCAGGATGCTGCCGTGGGGTGGTGGGCACAGCTGTGTGGCAGCCAACGTTCTGCACCTACATACACGCCTCACAGCAACATCTGCAAAATTGCTTGGGAAAAAAACCAACAGATTTTTATTTATAAGTTCCGTGTTTGGGTTTTTATAGCGTTTTATGATGCGCATAAATTGTTGTTTAAAAACAGAAAATGTAAGCAAAATTCCAGGGGGAAGGCAATTGTTGTTCAGCCCTAACTTTGATAATCTCCTTCCTGAGGAGTTCGCTGTCTTCTGTCTTCAGCTGGCGGTTGCCTTTTGCTGGCAACTGAGAGAGGCAGCTATGGCTTTTTGGCTTTATTTATATCTGCAGTTCTGTGCTTGAAATATTTATTCCCCTTTACTGTGTTCACTGTTTAAGAAGACAGAATGTACTTAAAGAAGCAAGCCTGTATCGGTGTAGTGGTGGGGCAGCCCTGCCGTGCTGTGTGGCTGGGTCCTGGCTGCAGGGTACGTGTGCCTTTGGTGCCCAAAGCAGCTCCAGCGCCCCAAGCCCTGTGCTGCTGCGAGGACCCAAAGCAGAGCAGTGCTCATGGTGGTCCCCACTTTGGGGCCGTAGAATCACAGGATGGCATGGTTAGAAGGGACCTCAAGGACCATGAAGCTCCAACCGCCTGCCACATGCAAGGCCACCAACCCCTACATTTCACAGCAGCCCAGGTTGCCCAGAGCCCCATCCAACCTGGCCTTGAACACCTCCAGGGATGGACGGGGCATCACAGCCTCTCTGGGCAGCTGTTCCAGCACCTCACCACTCTCATAGCAAAGAACTTCCCCCTGACATCCAACCAAAATCTTCCCTCCTTCAACTTAAAGCCATTTCCCCTTGTCCTGCTGTTATCTACCCTTTCAAAGAGTTGAGGCCATGCCTTGCCTGAACCCAACAGCCGACATCACTGTGCTTTGTATTGAGTAACTGAGCAGAATGGATTGAAAAACAGACTGTTCGCTGTGGGATTAATATTCTCCATGTCTCAGTTATGCTTCTGCACCAGATACACAGATCTGTGTCAGAATCTGCTGTGTGGGATCATTTTTGCAGTGCCGGAAGAAAACACGTTTGAATGTGACTCAAGCTGGAAAACACGTGCCAGGCTGAGTAACGTAGAGAGCGCTGAGGAGAAGCAGAGTTCGGCCGTCTTCGGATTTGTATGCAAATGTCTATTTTACAATTTTTTTTTCAGTTGCTCCCACAATTCAGGAACTTAAGTCCAGCGGAGTGATGCTCGGAGGGAACGGCCTCATCCGGTGCGAAGGCGCGGGCGTTCCTGCCCCGGTCTTTGAGTGGTACAGAGGAGAGAGGAAGTAAGTACCTGCCTGCACTGCGAGCTGCAGAGCTGCCCAGGGGGAGTCGTGGAGTTTTCTTTCAGCTTTTGTTTCTGTGCTGGTAGATGAGGCATAATAGGACTGTCCGCAGCTGGGCTGTGATGGTGATAATTGCCATAATGAGCCCAGGGTTTAAAAATGCTTTAGTAATTACAGCCTTTGAAGTACAGCAGCCAGAAAACGTCCACTGGAAAAGTCTAATAAAAAGAGTTTTTTTTAAGAATATGGGTTTTTTAAGCCATCTCCGTAGGTTTCCTACCGCGGGTTTCAGGGGTGGCTCATGGAGGCACCTTGCAGTGCAGCTCAGTGCCCACAGCCCTTGCACAGCAGCAGCACCTCCCTGCAGGAGCTCCCAGACTGAGTCCAGCGACCTCAGTGTGCGCCCCGGTGTTTGCATCCAGCTTTGCTTCTGCGTCGGTAGTGCTTGGTAAAGGTCTCAGATATCTCTGCAGGATTGGCTTCTAATAGGAGGTTTTGCTTTGCACTCTCACCTCATCGAAGATCTTAAATCTTCATGGAATGTGAAGTTTAAACATTGGTGCAGGATAAAATCCTGGTAGAAGCTGTGCAGGTACATCTTCTAGCTGCTGGAATGTCCTGGCTTCTGAACACTGGGTTTCTCATCAGCTCTAAGATCCCATTACACGTGGGAACTGACACGAGAATAGTAATGACCATATTTCATAGGGAACCATCTGTCAGCTCATTTCTCACTGGCCAGCTGCTCCCCTTAGGAGCGCTGCTCTCCCTCCTTCCTGACTTCCCACAGCAGCCACAGCCATCTCACTCTGACCATAGATCAAAGCATTCTGGAAAACACCATAATCAACCTTTACTACATGTAACAGCACAGACTTTCCCTCTGTTGGAGAAATTCATCTGCATCCTATTTCCAAGGGTGCACGTCATATTGTACATATGTCGGGGAGGAGTTGTAGCGGAAAAAAACTGTTGGAGCACAGGTTTTAATATAGATCATGGCACTCTGGATTCAATTAGCCATTTCCAGCGTGATAATCACCTCTCTATTTATAAAAGTCACCAATTCCCTTCTTCTTGAGTGCATTCAGTGTCACAAGAGCAGCGGGAAAGGATAAGCAGAGCATTTCAGGACACGGAAGTTGTGCCTTCTGTTTTCCATTTCAGTTGCTGTATCACCTGAGGCTTGCTATAATCAGCAAGACAAGCACTGTCCTGTTGTGTCTCACTGCTCAAATATTTTGTTAAATCTAACGGTACATCATTGTTTGTCCAAGAGCTGCTAGCAGACTCACAAAACACACGTGGCCACAGAGGGACTGGGAGCCTCTGAAGCACCACTCACAGGACAGGGAGGGCTGCACACGCACTGTTCATTCCTACTCCCAGGATCATCTCATCATAAAAAAAAAAGTCAGTAAAACTAAAAATAAGACCAGCTAAAGCCTATGTCCAGCTCCACCTATGAGGTGTTTGTAGGACTGCTCCTCTCTCTCCTTGCTGGGCTCGCAGCAGTCACTGCTCATCAATTCTCCATGCATTCCTGCCATGCTTTGGGAACACCGAGCTCAGGGCTGAGAACTGCTTGGGGAAAGCAGGGGAGGAACCCAGAGCACTGCCTGCCATCCCATGGGCGTGCAGACCACACAGCCCTGGAGAGCCCACATGGACTGAGGATCAACTGAGGGAATGGGCTGGTTCAGTATGGAGAAAAGGATGCTCCAGGGGGACCTTATGGGTCTCTACAGCTCCTGGCAGGAGGTTGGAGAGATGGGGTTCAGCTCCCAGGAAACAGCAATACGATGGGAGAGTGCTGTGCCAGGGCAGGGCAGGCTGGGTATGAAGAGAAATCTCTTCTCCAAAGAGCGGTCACAGAGCTGCTGTGGTGGCACCCAGGAAAGGAGCTGGGGAAGGAGCCAGTATAGGGACTGCCCTTGAGGGCTTTAAATTCTGAGCAGGAGCCAAAGCTCTGAAATGCATCACATTAAAAAGGGACTGGGTGAAAAGTTAGTAGAAGCTTCTTAAAATTGTGATAGCATTTGGCTTCTAAAGCTGCAGAGGGATTCCCTGTGGAGGGGAGGAGGCTTTGCTGTTCTGAGTCTGGTATCTGAAACTCACAACTGCTCAAGTATACTGTGTTACAGGGCTGTGAAGAACTGCATCTCAGAAATTGAACAGCCACAGGGAAAAAGCCCAAAAGCCACTCATCTAAAAAATATTAATTCTCTTCTACTTGATAAAGCAAACAAGACCTACATTTGAAATAACAAAACTTGTTATAATGGCTTAATATACTGCAATAATGTGAAGTCATTCAAATACGAAACTAAAGGTAGATATCCCCTGGGACTGGCACAGACACACGGTGTTCTCCTCATGCATTGGCATAGTCTCCAAAATAAAAATGAGATTCCATTTCCATGTTCAGCTCATGGCATGGAGCAGTGGAGTAAGGAGATGTGTAGGGTGGCTGCACATGAGTGGAGATGCTGTGTTCCGAAATGGAGCTGCACACAGGTAGCAAATGCCGTGTGCAGTCAGTGAGCTGGGCAGGGATGTGGTTGTTGGCTCAGAAGTGAAAGCATCAGGTTCCTACAGCAGCAAAATCAGGTTTCTACAGCAGCAAACGGAGGTCCTGCAGGTGCTATGTTCATGGTGACCAAAGCTGACCACAGACCCTGGCAGCCACGTGGCTCTGTGCTGTCCCCAGTGTGGCACCATGCCACGGGAAACGTGAGGAATCCACTGTGAGCAATCAGCTGTAGCTGGCACTTTAATAACATGGGTACCGTTCCCATCTGACAAGATGTGGTCTGCGTACAACAACAGAATTTGAACTGATTGTCTTCCTCTGTGCCAGAGCAGCGGTGTTTCTGACACCTGTCCATATGGGACAGGGCCATGGAAGGCTCAGTGCAGGGAAAGGGAGCCCAGTGAAAATGGTTGTGTTTGGGTTCCTCCTGCATTCTGTTACCTGATTTCTGTTGAAGTTGCAGTCTCAGGATGCAGTGCTGCGGTAGTGCATCCTTCCTAATTGCAACTGCAGTTTGTTGCTATAGAGGTCTGTAAAATATATTGTGGTCTCCATCCTAATTAATCTCCTTCTTGGCTACATAATCCCAATCTACCATCAGTTAGAGGTGCACAGAGTTGTGAACAACCAGCAGATTGTGAAAAACACCCTCTGAAGGATTTACTGTAACAGTCAGAAGTGGTGCAGTGTCTTTAGGGCAGCACTCTGTCTCCATGCTCCGTCCTATTGCCCACCCACAGCCCGCCCTGCCCCTGCTGCAGCACTATGGATGCTGGGCACAGCAGTACGGATACATGCAGGTGGGCACTGGGGGTGCTGCTTCCAGGCCAGCCGTGGGCCAAACTGCCCGAGGCTGCTCCCCTCACACCTCCAGTGCTGCCTCCCAAAGCAGCCCCACTGATAAGTTCGTTCAGCAGGATCACGTGCAGACTGATTACTGTGCTATCAGCTGTATCCATTAAAGAAACGAAATCAAAAAGGCTATTGCTTATGGTATATAAGTTATAGACTTTTTTTTTCTTACTTTCTAGACTGATCAGTGGTCAACAAGGAATTACTATTAAAAATTATAGCACGAGATCACTTCTTACTGTTACCAATGTGACAGAAGAGCACTTTGGCAACTATACCTGTGTTGCTGCCAACAAGCTTGGGATGACCAATGCCAGCCTGCCTCTCAACCGTAAGTAACGTAGATGTGTGACAAGTGTTCGTGCTCGTTTGTTTCCACATGCCTGGGTTCAAAAGCAGAAAGATGTCAGCGTGCTTTTTCTTTCCCTCGTTTTTATCACAAGGCACACAAGTACCGTTACATTCCTCAGCAGTGGGAAATAGCTGGTTTTTTCTTCTGTGCTGCAGAAGGGCTTCTGTTTTGGAAGCAGTGCCACATTTTGGGGGCAGCAACAAGTTGTGGATGTACAAAAAGACACATGAGGGCTCAGCCTGCTTTGTGGCACGGGCACTTAGCATGGCACAACCTTTCCGTACTGGCTGGCCAAGGCAGCACTGTGAGCACCATTCAGAACTCCTTGGGAGGTCTCCAAGGGGCACTGTGAGCCCAGCACTGCATGCCTTTGGCTGCACACACCGGGCGGTAGGGTGAGCAGAGGGGACGTGCCATGGAGTCCTTGGATGAAGACAGCAGTCACTGGGATAGGCAAAGCAGAGCGCTGAGATACTCTTTACATGAAGCTTACATAAAATGGGTCTCAAATGTCCTACTTGAAAGATATTTATAGCCGTGACTTCATAGTATTTCACATTTTTTGACTCTCTAGCCATCTGTTAGTGGCATCCAAAGATGTTCATAGCTGAACTTCCGTGGTAATCTGTCCTGTTTTCATAGCGATAATACTGAAAGACATGCATGAAGATATTCCTTGGTGGAAATCGGACTGCAGATTTTCATCTCCTTAAATCCTAGGGTTATTACCTTGCAACCACTAAGCTTTGTTCTTGCTGTGCTTCCCCTGTGTCAGTGTTATCGGGATATTTAACCCACCACCACAGAAATGCAATGAGCAGAAGGCAGTGTGAGGTCTTTCCTTCTGTTCCATTTCAGATTTGAGCAATCATTAACAAAGTGAACACAATGCAGCACATCCTTTAAGCAGAAAACGCAAAAAGTGAGAACAGAAGAATTTCATAGCAGAAGCAAGTGGTATTTGGTGAGTTTGCAGTTCAGAGAAAGTAAGGCAAAGGTTTGGGTTATTTTGAACAAAGCAGTTCTGTTGCTGCCAGGGTTCTATCAGCTTTCTTTGCTTTCCTTTTGTAACATGCCCGCTGTTACAGTGCAGAGTGCAGAGGGTGAACACCTCAGGCAGTGTCAAGTTGGAAACTGCAACAGCAGGCATTCTCTGTGGTGAGAGGGGTGGGATGTGGGAAGTGAGAGGAAGTGCTGAAATGGGGGTCTGATTCTGACCGCTCCATTGAGATGTGGGGGAGCTGCTGAGGTGTGTCTGAAAGGCTGAGATGGAGGGATTTGTTTTCTGCCCCCATCTGTTTGATTCTAATCAAAACAGGGAGGGGTTCCCAAAGGGCAGTCTGGATTTCAATTGGGAATTAAGAGCATTCGACTTGGGAGTGGGCATTCATCCTTCTTCAGAGTCTACATTAATATCATCTGGAAAGAGTTTCTCTTTTTTTAATATAAAAGAGAAAAAAAAGTCTCCCGGGGTAACAACCTATTAAACATGGATTCCCTGATACTACAGAGGGGATTTTCTCTCGTGAAACACTGCTTGCATCTTATTTTGTTAGCAGCTGTAAAATGGACAGACTGAGCTGTATGGGAAAAACACGGAGCAGCAGTGGCTCCGATCAAGGAACGAATGGCAGTGTGGCAGTTACTCATGTCCCAGTCCTTCCTATCACCTAGATGTGTGGGGTTTTGGCACCGCTCCTGTCCTGTAGCTGTGTACGTGTGCAGGATCCCCAGCAGCTGTGTTGGACGGTCCCATCCTGCCATCTATGGGCCTAATTCATCACATGCGTAGTGCTGCCCGTCTTGGCTTTTCCCAGAATATTTGGTACTTAAGAACATATTCTTTTCCTGTAAGTAAGGCAGAGACCTGCTGATTCATGAAATCCAATTTCTGCAGAAAACGCATTATGGTACGGACTCAGGGTATGAGGTTTCATTTACCAATGCAGAATGGAGTAATAATTAAGCAGCTCTTGCTTTTAAGTTGGTGCAATTTTAATTCAAGGCAAAAGGCAATTTCCTGCAGATAAATTTGCAAGGCCACCATGAGGGGAATGAGCCATCATTAGCCGCTGGCAGCGAGGTGGACTCCTTCAGCCATCACTCTGAGAACAGCCAGAGGTGAGGTGGTGGTCAGTGCTGCTGCTGGAGCAGCAACGTCCCCAGGGGAACATGCCCTGTCCCCATGCAGCCTCTCCATGTCCCAGTACGTGGTGTCAGGGCTGGAGTGCTGGTCTTCATCAAAGCTGTGTCACGCTGGGAGGTTGTCTGCTCTGCCTGAACGCTAGTTGTATTACAGGACACTGAGTGGCTGCTGAAATCCCGCGTTTTCAATCTGAATGTAGATTTAATCTGTACATCTGTAGGAACTGTAAATCTGCTTAGAAAGAGGCTGTTCACAGGGGCATAAAATTCCCAGCAACGTGTGATCTCTGTGTCTCTACAAGATAAGACACCTCAAAAGTCTGGATTGAAGCAAGCCATCACCTCACAGAAGATAGATGAATATAATCATTGCGTCTCAAGCAGATAGGTATCTATCATTATCATAGGCATTATTTTGTTTGTATTTTAAAAGCACATCTCCTAGGCAATCCTGAGTGTTTTTTATGAGTGCTATAAACATCTCACCTGGGAAGGGATACCTTCCCTTGCAATAGAGGAGCCCATCACTGGCAGCTGCCCTGGGGATGATGCCCTTCAGTGGTTGCCTTTGTGCCCCACAGGTGCTGCTGAGCTCTGGGAGAATGTGGCTCATACAGAAATCAGATGTATTGTCAGTAGTTGTTCTAAAATGTAAATAGCCATGAAGGGCTGCAGCAAAGGTCAGCAGCGACGTCAGGAAGGGGAAGGAGAGCACAGCGAGGCATGTGAGGGATGTGGCAGTATTTTCTGTGCTAATGTAATTGCTGCAGCTAAACAGAACTACCTTATTGCATAAGCATCCAACTGTGAGCTTACTGGTAGTGCAACATGGTTATGATCTTGTCTCAAAGAGTTTGCATGCCAGGAAGCACCAGACCGTGCCTCCATTTACATGTGTTTGTTGCATTGTGCGCTGGTTCCTACAGAAAGATTCCTAATCAAACTGCTGTGCCAACATTTTAATTGAGTTTCATGTCTGAAGTGCAAAAAAATTAATATTCTTTCAAAATTTTAAGTTAACTCTTTGTAAACAGCACATTGCATGTAACAACATATGCATTCCTCAGGATAGTTGGTGTAGCATTGAGTGTGTCTACTGGGGCACTGAAGATCCAGGAGCATTGAGGGCACCTGCAGAGCTGTGCAGTGGTCTTGCTATGCCATGTCTACTAAACAAAATTAATATTGAGACAGACAACCATTTTCTCTGGTAATTTCCTAGCAGCCTGACTCGTGGATCTGCAAACCTTCCCTCTCCTGCTGCCCCAAGCCATAACAGTGAGGGACAGCAGGGATTTATGGGATTTGGGGGTTCTCACAGTCATCTCACTGAGAGCACGGCTGTAGCCACAATGCCATTTTCCACTGCTGGCAGCTTTGGGTCCTGCTTCCCACTGCCCAGAGTGGTCCTCCCCCATCACAGTCAGGATGTGGCCCTGCTTCTTTCCTGTATTTGCAACTTTTCCTTCATATTTACACCAAGCATTTTCTTACTGCAGATGAAGCCTATTTCCACTTCTCCTTCCCACTGTGGGAAGAGATCGGTGCTCTCAGGACCAAGAAGGAAATTGGGGCGGACGGAGGGAAGGGCAGTGTTGGGTCAAAACATCTGTCTCCAGGTGCATAAAAGCCTCTCCTGGAACGAGAAAGGGAATGATCTGAAATGAGTGACTTTATGTACTGCTGAACATATTGCACTACTGGTGGCAATAACAGTGGTGACGGGTTAGCCAAGGGCTTGCTGCACAGACAGCATCTTGCCGTGACTGTGTTGCCAAGGCGGTTCATAGAATCACAGAATGGCCTGGGTTGCAAAGGAGCACAACGCTCATCAGTTCCAACCCCCTGCTGTGTGCAGGGTTGCCAACCAGCAGCCCAGGCTGCCCAGAGCCACATCCAGCCTGGTCTTGAGTGCTTCCAGGAATGGGGATTTGACATGCTCTGATGTCTGAGCAGCGGTCACCTTCCTGAAGGGGCTGTTCTTGCTGCCAGGGGATGGAGCTGGGCCTGGCAGCAGCAGTTGTTTGAGTGGCTATTGGAGATCATGCAAAGACTGCTTGGGACTTGTGTTCACACCATTTGGTGTCATCATTAAACTCAGCCATTGCTTTCTGTTGACTGAGAATTTGCGTATTTGCCCACATGAAGGGGTCTCTGCTAAGTTTTAGTTCAATGGCTTTGGCTGGCCTTCCAAATTTGACATTTCAGAAAGAAATTTACTCTCCAGGGAAATTCCCTTTGTGTCCATAGTTTCAGCTTTCTCCAATTACCTAAGAAATATTTTACTATTTTACCTCTCAAACGCTGGTCCTTAGAACAAATCACAATTAAATTGGTGTTGTTCTGTGTTATGTTCCAGCCAAATGGGTGACACACATAAAATTATACAGATATATTCATATAAATATAGAATGTAAGTGAAAACTCCTGTACTCATTAGAAGCTGATTCAAAGACTGCTGCAGTAAATCAAAAGACGTTTCTTGATTTAATTATGTTTGGCTGAAGCCCAAAGTCTCCTGTAGAAGTCGCAGTGCAGAGGGCTGATGCCATACACCAATGTTTTCATTGGAGGTGTCTGGTCTTGCCCCTGCCGTGCAGTCAGTGCCCCGAACACTCACCCAGCTCTTGCTGAACGCACGGCCCCAACTTCTCTGTTGTGTGGCTGGACAGAGAGCAGATGGAAAATGCCTTCAGGGGCAGTAAAACAAAACATAAAGGGATGTCTGAGCCAGCATGCTTTCTTGTGGTCACTGTAAGGGGCATCCAGGTCCATGCCCATGGGGTTTTGTGGTATATCCATTATAAAACCAAGTCAGACCTTTTCATAGTGTG